ACGAGATAAAACTTGGGAGGTCTGTGCATTTTAAATACAAATGTGAAGTACCTGTATATAAATAAAAGTAAATAATAAAAAAAAAAGAAAAATCTTTCCTCTGAAATAAAAAAGTAGATGATCTGGTTAATTTTTTTTCTTGATTTTTTTTTTTCCCCTTGATTTTGTTAAAATGGGGGGAGGAACAATTGAAAGGGCTCGGGGTGTAAATAGGACTGTGGAGAATCCTGAGCTGGAAGGGACCCGCCAGGACCAGCCAGTCCAACCCCTGGCCCTGCCCAGACACCCCGAGAGTCTGGGATTGAAACACCAAGGGGGGGTGTTTAAATTTGGGAAGGTTTGGGAAAGGTTTGGAAAGGGAAAGTTTGGAAAGGGAAAGTTTGGGAAGGGAAAGTTCGAGAAGGGAAAGTTTGGGAATGTTTGGGATTTTTTTTTTTTAATGTTTGGGAAGATTTTGGAATGTTGGGAATGTTTGGGAATGTTTGGGAAATTTTTGGACTATTTGGGAAGGTTTGGGAATGTTTGGGAATATCTGGAAATTTTGGGGAAGGTTTGGGAATGTTTGGGGTGGTTTGGAATATTTGGGAAGGTTTGGGAATGTTTGGAAATGTTTAGGAAGGTTTGAGATGGTTTGGGAATATCTGGGAAATTTTGGGAATGTTTGGGAAATTTTTGGAATGTTTGGGAAGGTTTGAGAAGGTTTGGGAATATCTGGAAAATTTTGGGAATATTTGGAAAGGTTTTGGAATGTTTAGGAAGGTTTGGGAGAATCTGGGAAAATTTTGGACTATTTGGGAAGGTTTGGGAATATCTGGAAAACTTGGAGAATGGGAAGATTTGGGAATGTTTGGAATGTTTGGGAATGTTTGGGAAATTTTTGGACTATTTGGGAAGGTTTGGGAAGGTTTGGGAATATCTGGAAAATTTTGGGAATGTTTGGGAAGGTTCGGGAATGTTTGGAAATGTTTGGGAGGGTTTGAGATGGTTTGGGAATGTTTGGGAATATCTGGGAAATTTTTGGAATGTTTGGGAAGGTTTGAGAAGATTTGGGAAGGTTTGGAATGTTTGGGAAATTTTTGGAATATTTGGGAAGGTTTGGGAATGTTTGGGAAATTTTTGGACTATTTGGGAAGGTTTGGGAAGATTTGGGAATATCTGGAAAATTTTTTGAATATTTGGGAAGGTTTGGGAGTGTTTGGGAATGTTTGGGAAGGTTTGGGAATGTTTGGATATGTTTGGGAGGGTTTGAGATGGTTTGGGAATGTTTGGGAATATCTGGGATATTTTTGGAATATTTGGGAAGGTTTGGAAATTTTTGGAATATTTAGGAAGGTTTGGGAATGTTTGGGATGGTTTGGGAATGTTTGGGAATATCTGGAAAATTTTGGGAATGTTTCGGAAATTTTGGGAAGGTTTGGGAGAATCTGGGAAATTTTTGGAATGTTTGGGAAGGTTTGGGATGGTTTGGGAATGTTTGGGAATATTTTGGAAATTTTTGGAATGTTTGGGAAGATTTGAGAAGATTTGGGAAGGTTTGGAATGTTTGGAATATTTAGGAAGGTTTGGGAATATTTGGAAAATTTTTGGAATATTTGGGAATATTTGGGAAGGTTTGGGAAGATTTGGGATGGTTTCGGAAGGTTTGGGAGAATCTGGGAAATATTTGGAATGTTTGGGAAGGTTTGAGAAGATTTGGAAAGGTTTGGAATGTTTGGGAAGGCTTGAAATATTTGGGAAGGTTTGGGAATATTTGGGAAATTTTTGGAATATTTGGAAAATTTTGGGAATGTTTGGGAAGGTTTGGGATGGTTTGGGAACATCTGGAAAATTTTTGGACTATTTGGAAAGGTTTGGGAATGTTTGGGAAGCTTTGGGAATATTTGGGACATTTTGGGAATATTTAGGAAGGTTTGGGAAAGTTTGGGAATGTTTGGAAATGTTTGGGAAGGTTTGGGAAGGTTTGGGAATATCTGGGAAATTTTTGGAATGTTTGGGAAGGTTTGAGAAGATTTGGGAAGGTTTGGAATATTTGGGAAGGCTTGGAACATTTGGGAACGTTTGGGAAGATTTGGGAAATTTTTGGAATATTTGTGAAGGTTTGTGAAGGTTTGGGAAGGTTTGGAATATTTGGAATATTTAGGAAGGTTTGGGAATATTTGGAAATTTTTTGGAATATTTGGGAAGGTTTGGGAATGTTTGGAAATGTTTGGGAAGGTTTGGGATGGTTTGGGAATGTTTGGGAAAGCTTGTGAAGGTTTGGGAATATCTGGGAAATTTTTGGAATGTTTGGGAAGGTTTGGGAAGATTTGGGAAGGTTTGGAATGTTTGGAATATTTAGGAAGGTTTGGGAATATTTGGAAAATTTTTGGAATACTTGGGAAGGTTTGGGAAGATTTGGGATGGTTTGGGAATGTATGGGAATGTTTGGGAAATTTTGGGAATGTTTGTGAAAGTTTGGGAAGGTTTGGGAAATTTTCGGAATGTTTGGGAAGGTTTGAGAAGATTTGGGAAGGTTTGGAATGTTTGGGAATGCAGATGAGCCAGAATTCCACAGAATTCCACAGTTCAGGCACCGCCCCTCGGGCCAAAGGAATCTGCAGAGATTCTGCCGTTCCAAAAAAAAAACCAAAAAATACCAAAAAAACCCAAAACCCAAACAATTGGCAGCAAAACATTCCATTTACCTCTGATTGATTTTCCTGCGATTTTTTTTCTTCCTTTGTTTTTTTTTTCTGAATTTGCCAAAAATAGCTCCCAGCTGTTCATGGCACGAACCATCACCCTCCTCCTCCATCTCCCTCCTGCTGTGCCCGCTGGGGGTGGGGGGAGAGCCAAACATTCCCCAAATTGCTCCCAAATCAGTTTTCACCCCCTCCAGGCAGCACCAGGAATCGTGTGGGACCAAGTGCCCTTTCCTGGTGGCATTGGCGTCTCTCCGTGTGACAGGGACAGGATCCCAGGGAACTGCTGGAGCTGGGACAGGGCTGGGTTTAGGCTGGATTTTAGGAACAGGTTCTTCCCCCAGAGGGTGGTTGGCACTGCCCAGGCTCCCCAGGGCAGTGGGCACAGCCCCAAGGCTGCCAGAGCTCCAGGAGGGTTGGGATGATCCTTGTGTGTCCCTTCCAGCTCAGGAAATTCCATGATTCCATGATTCCATGATTCCAGCCCCCACCACAATTCCAAGCCCACCCGAAACATCCCCCCCACCCCCCACTCCGTGTCCTTCCAGCTCGGCACCATCCTGGACATCCCGGCACCGCAGGTGGGATCAGAGAGGTCAGGAAAATGCATGTGTGCTTTATTTTCATGGATATGTTGGAATATTGACATGTACAGAAGAGAGAAGTACAAGTCTGAGCCCAGGATGGGCTGACACCCACCCCCCCCACACCCCTCCCCACGCAGGGGGTTATTGCTCCAGCACCACCTCCCAGCCCTGGATCTGCCCCCCCTGCTCTTGGAAAACACTATCCACGAGGACATGACGTGATGCCAACATGGATTTGTCCCCTCACAAGGTTTCCTGGGCTCTCGGGGCTGTCAGACCCCTGGGACCGGTGCCGAGCAGCCAAAAACAATACAGTTCTGTGGCTACAGAGAGTCTGGCTGGTTCTTTAATTAATTTTTTTTTAATTATTATTATTTTTTTCCCCCCCATGACTCTTCTTTGTGCTTATGGAAATCCCCAGGAATGGAACAATTCCTAAAAAAAAGTCTCCCCTTTCTCCCCCCGTCTTGGTTTGCTCAGTCCTTCACCTGGACGAGCAGATTTAGGGGTTAAAGAGATTTCAAGGTGAAGATCCGGGGGTTTGCTTCACAGAATTCAGCAGGGATGGGATTTCATCCCCCCCAAAAAAAAAATCACGGGGGGGAAAGCAGCGGCCTGTGCACACACGTTGTTGGTGGGTGGGAGGGGTGGAATCAGCGTCACCTTCCTGAGTGAAGCTCAAAAGTCACCCTTTCTTTTTGCAAAGTTTGGTTCCTGAACAGGCTTGGAGGGAGAATCGACATCAAATGTCTGTGAAAAAGGGGGAAATGATGGGGGGAGGGGGGAAAGCCAGGAAGGTTTGGGGACTGTGGTTTAATTCCCACCTGCTGGCTGAGAGGCTCCTTGCTCCGTGCCATTCATTCCAAAGCATCCCTGGAAACCCTGGAAGGGCCTGGGATAATACTTGAAGGACAGGAGATGGGAATTGAGGGGCTCATTCACCTGTGGTGCTCAGAGACAACAAATCCTAAGGAGCCTGAAGGGCAAGATATCCCTGGAAGTGTCCAAGGCCAGGTGGGAGCAACCTGGGATGGTGGGAAAAGTGTCCCTGCCCGTGCCAGGGGGTTGGCACTGAGTGATCTTTAAGGTCCCTCCCAACCCATGCCATGATTCTGTGATGTAAATCCAGGGGAAATGATGACACCTCTCACTGAAATTGTTGAAAATCCTTCCAGATGAACCTTCCAAAAAGTGCAGACAGACCATTGGTGCCGCAGCGGGACACGGTCCTGGACCAGGTGACCTCTGGATTCTCCACAGCTGTTTCCCACAGTGTGAAAGGAGAGGTCAGGTGGGGTTTCCAATCATCCCAACCACCCAAAAAAACTCTTCCTCCCCTGGATGAGGAGGAAACGGCCAAGTGG